GTCTGGCCTGTAAATTGTTCAACATTGCAGTTGTCTGGTCTGTAAATTTTTCAACGTTGTAGTTGTCTTTATCTGTAAATTGTTCAACGTTGTAGTTGTCTGGTGTCTAAATTGTTCAACGTTGTAGTTGTCTTGTCTGTAAATTGTTCAACGTTGTAGTTGTCTTGTCTGTATATTGTTCAACGTTGTAGTTGTCTTGTCTGTAAAATGTTCAACATTGTAGTTGTCAGGTCTGTGTATTGTTCAATGTTGTAGTTGTCTGGACTGTAAATTGTTCAACATTATAGTTGTCTGGTCTGTAAATTGTTCAACGTCGTAGTTGTTTTGTCTGTAAATGTTTCAACGTTGTAGTTGTCTGGTCTCTAAATTGTTCAACGTTGTAGTTTACGGGACCGTAAATTGTTCAACATTGTAGTTGTCTGGCCTGTAAATTGTTCAACGTTGTTGTTGTCTGGTCTGTAAATTGTTCAACGTTGTAGTTGTCTGGTCTCTAAATTGTTCAACGTTGTAGTTGACGGACCGTAAATTGTTCAGCGTTGTAGTTGTCTGGACCGTAATTTGTTCAACATTGTATTTGTCTAGCCTGTATATTGTTCAATGTTGTAGTTGTCTGGTCTGTAAATTGTTCAACATTATCGTTGTCTGGTGTCTAAATTGTTCAACGTTGTAGTTGTCTTGTCTGTAAATTGTTTAAAATTGTAGTTGTCTGGCCTGTAAAATTGTTCAACGTTGTAGTTGTCTGGTCTGTAAATTGTTCAACGTTGTAGTTGTCTCGTCTGTAAATTGTTTAACATTGTAGTTGTTCGTCTGTAAATTGTTCAACATTGTAGTTGTCTGGTCTGTAAATTGTTCAACGTTGTAGTTGTCTGGTCTGTAAATTGTTCAACGTTGTAGTTGTCTTGTCTGTAAGTTGTTTAACATTGTAGTTGTCTGTCTGTAAATTGTTCAACATTGTAGTTGTCTGGTCTGTAAATTGTTCAACGTTGTAGTTGTCTGGTCTGTAAATTGTTCAACATTATAGTTGTCTGGCCTGTAAATTGTTCAACATTGCAGTTGTCTGGTCTGTAAATTTTTCAACGTTGTAGTTGTCTTATCTGTAAATTGTTCAACGTTGTAGTTGTCTGGTGTCTAAATTGTTCAACGTTGTAGTTGTCTTGTCTGTAAATTGTTCAACGTTGTAGTTGTCTTGTCTGTATATTGTTCAACGTTGTAGTTGTCTTGTCTGTAAAATGTTCAACATTGTAGTTGTCAGGTCTGTGTATTGTTCAATGTTGTAGTTGTCTGGACTGTAACTTGTTCAACATTATAGTTGTCTGGTCTGTAAATTGTTCAACGTCGTAGTTGTTTTGTCTGTAAATGTTTCAACGTTGTAGTTGTCTGGTCTCTAAATTGTTCAACGTTGTAGTTGACGGGACCGTAAATTGTTCAACATTGTAGTTGTCTGGCCTGTAAATTGTTCAACGTTGTTGTTGTCTGGTCTGTAAATTGTTCAACGTTGTAGTTGTCTGGTCTGTAAATTGTTCAACGTTGTAGTTGACGGGACCGTAAATTGTTCAGCGTTGTAGTTGTCTGGACCGTAATTTGTTCAACATTGTATTTGTCTAGCCTGTATATTGTTCAATGTTGTAGTTGTCTGGTCTGTAAATTGTTCAACATTATCGTTGTCTGGTGTCTAAATTGTTCAACGTTGTAGTTGTCTTGTCTGTAAATTGTTTAAAATTGTAGTTGTCTGGCCTGTAAATTGTTCAACGTTGTAGTTGTTGTCTGGTCTGTAAATTGTTCAACGTTGTAGTTGTCTTGTCTGTAAATTGTTTAACATTGTAGTTGTCTGTCTGTAAATTGTTCAACATTGTAGTTGTCTGGTCTGTAAATTGTTCAACGTTGTAGTTGTCTGGTCTGTAAATTGTTCAACGTTGTAGTTGTCTTGTCTGTAAGTTGTTTAACATTGTAGTTGTCTGTCTGTAAATTGTTCAACATTGTAGTTGTTCTGGTCTGTAAATTGTTCAACGTTGTAGTTGTCTGGTCTGTAAATTGTTCAACATTATAGTTGTCTGGCTATAAAATTGTTCAACATTACAGTTGTCTGGTCTGTAAATGTTTCAACGTTGTAGTTGTCTTATCTGTAAATTGTTCAACGTTGTAGTTGTCAGGTGTCTAAATTGTTCAACGTTGTAGTTGTCTTGTCTGTATATTGTTCAACTTTGTAGTTGTCTTGTCTGTAAAATGTTCAACATTGTAGTTGTCAGGTTGTGTTGTTCAATGTTGTAGTTGTCTGGACTGTAATTTGTTCAACATTATAGTTGTCTGGTCTGTAAATTGTTCAACATTATAGTTGTCTGGCCTGTAAATTGTTCAACATTGCAGTTGTCTGGTCTTAAATTTTTCAACGTTGTAGTTGTCTTATCTGTAAATTGTTCAACGTTGTAGTTGTCAGGTGTCTAAATTGTTCAACGTTGTAGTTGTCTTGTCTGTATATTGTTCAACTTTGTAGTTGTCTTGTCTGTAAAATGTTCAACATTGTAGTTGTCAGGTCTGTGTATTGTTCAATGTTGTAGTTGTCTGACTGTAATTTGTTCAACATTATAGTTGTCTGGTCTGTAAATTGTTCAACGTCGTAATTGTTTTGTCTGTAAATGTTTCAACGTTGTAGTTGTCTGGTCTCTAAATTGTTCAACGTTGTAGTTGACGGGACCGTAAATTGTTCAACATTGTAGTTGTCTGGCCTGTAAATTGTTCAACGTTGTTGTTGTCTGGTCTGTAAATTGTTCAACGTTGTAGTTGTCTGGTCTGTAAATTGTTCAACGTTGTAGTTGACGGGACCGTAAATTGTTCAGCGTTGTAGTTGTCTGGACCGTAATTTGTTCAACATTGTATTTGCCTAGCCTGTATATTGTTCAATGTTGTAGTTGTCTGGTCTGTAAATTGTTCAACATTATCGTTGTCTGGTGTCTAAATTGTTCAACGTTGTAGTTGTCTTGTCTGTAAATTGTTTAAAATTGTAGTTGTCTGGCCTGTAAATTGTTCAACGTTGTAGTTGTCTGGTCTGTAAATTGTTCAACGTTGTAGTTGTCTTGTCTGTAAATTGTTTAACATTGTAGTTGTCTGTCTGTAAATTGTTCAACGTTGTAGTTGTCTGGTCTGTAAATTGTTCAACGTTGTAGTTGTCTTGTCTGTAAGTTGTTTAACATTGTAGTTGTCTGTCTGTAAATTGTTCAACATTGTAGTTGTCTGGTCTGTAAATTGTTCAACGCTGTAGTTGTCTGGTCTGTAAATTGTTCAACATTATAGTTGTCTGGCCTGTAAATTGTTCAACATTACAGTTGTCTGGTCTGTAAATTGTTCAACTTTGTAGTTGTCTTATCTGTAAATTGTTCAACGTTGTAGTTGTCTGGTGTCTAAATTGTTCAACGTTGTAGTTGTCTTGTCTGTAAATTGTTCAACGTTGTAGTTGTCTTGTCTGTATATTGTTCAACGTTGTAGTTGTCTTGTCTGTAAAATGTTCAACATTGTAGTTGTCAGGTCTGTGTATTGTTCAATGTTGTAGTTGTCTGACTGTAAATTGTTCAACATTATAGTTGTCTGGTCTGTAAATTGTTCAACGTCGTAGTTGTTTTGTCTGTAAATGTTTCAACGTTGTAGTTGTCTGGTCTGTAAATTGTTCAACGTTGTAGTTTACGGGACCGTAAATTGTTCAACATTGTAGTTGTCTGACCTGTAAATTGTTCAACGTTGTTGTTGTCTGGTCTGTAAATTGTTCAACGTTGTAGTTGTCTGGTCTGTAAATTGTTCAACGTTGTAGTTGACGGGACCGTAAATTGTTCAGCGTTGTAGTTGTCTGGACCGTAATTTGTTCAACATTGTATTTGTCTAGCCTGTATATTGTTCAATGTTGTAGTTGTCTGGTCTGTAAATTGTTCAACATTATCGTTGTCTGGTGTCTAAATTGTTCAACGTTGTAGTTGTCTTGTCTGTAAATTGTTTAAAATTGTAGTTGTCTGGCCTGTAAATTGTTCAACGTTGTAGTTGTCTGGTCTGTAAATTGTTCAACGTTGTAGTTGTCTTGTCTGTAAATTGTTTAACATTGTAGTTGTCTGTCTGTAAATTGTTCAACATTGTAGTTGTCTGGTCTGTAAATTGTTCAACGTTGTAGTTGTCTTGTCTGTAAATTGTTCAACGTTGTAGTTGTCTTGTCTGTAAGTTGATTAACATTGTAGTTGTTCTGTCTGTAAATTGTTCAACATTGTAGTTGTCTGGTCTGTAAATCGTTCAACGTTGTAGTTGTCTGGTCTGTAAATTGTCTTCAACATTATAGTTGTATGGCCTGTAAATTGTTCAACATTGCAGTTGTCTGGTCTGTAAATTTTTCAACGTTGTAGTTGTCTTATCTGTAAATTGTTCAACGTTGTAGTTGTCTGGTGTCTAAATTGTTCAACGTTGTAGTAGTCTTGTCTGTAAATTGTTCAACGTTGTAGTTGTCTGGTGTCTAAATTGTTCAACGTTGTAGTTGTCTTGTCTGTAAATTGTTTAACATTGTAGTTGTCTGTCTGTAAATTGTTCAACATTGTAGTTGTCTGGTCTGTAAATTGTTCAACGTTGTAGTTGTCTGGTCTGTAAATTGTTCAACATTATAGTTGTCTGGCCTGTAAATTGTTCAACATTGCATTTGTCTGGTCTGTAAATTGTTCAACGTTGTAGTTGTATTGTCTGTAAATTGTTCAACGTTGTAGTTGACGGGACCTTAAAGTGTTAAACGTTGTAGTTGTCTGGGATGTAAATTATCCAGCGTATGTTGCATTTTAGACTCACCAACCGCAATAACATGATATTCAACTGTAACAGACAACCAACCATTCGTACCATATTTCGTATCATATTGAATGAAACTGGATTTTAATCTTAGCTTGAAAAGACAAACATGAACTACCTTTAAGTCCATATTTATCGACTTCATTTCATGTGATTGTCCCTTAAAACCCTATAAACTAACAATGTGTTTCCAGTGCGGCTTTTTCAAGAGGGAGAAAAAAGGCAAGGTGCAGAAATGGAAGCGAGAGAGCGGTTACTACGGGAGAAACCAATCACGTGCTCCACGAAACAGCAAAGCCCCAGAAGACGCCAAAGAGAGTCCAGAAGAGTCCAACGAAACCCCCATGGAGTCGGCCAAAGATGAAAAGGGAGCCATGTCATCATAGAGAACAATGGATATTTAAAAAAATATTTTCTTTAAAATAATGGAAAGCAAAAACTTTGTCTAGGTTTTTACACTTAATACCTTATGTCCAGCAAAAAATGTTGCAATGAAAGAAAATGTTTAGTCTCTCCTCGTAAAGAAGAAAATGTTAAAAAGCAACAAAATATTGTACTAAAGAAAACGTCCCTAAACCTATTCATGGTGTACTCAAATGCTCAAAAAAGAAAAGAATGTATCAAAAGCTAAAATATTCTTATAAGAAATATGCAATCCTCACTAAACCTATTTAGGGTGTACACAATATGAATAACTGAAATGTTCAATTTCTCCTTGAACAGAAAAGAATGTAAAAAACTAAATATTCTTCTAAAAAACGTCCTCACTAAACCTATTCAGTGTGGAGACAGTGTGATTGACATAATGAGGAGTTCAAGAGACAGTGGAAGCAATTTACGACTTCGCTTACTTATATATGCTTGTAAATCCCACCTTTGCATATGGCTAAACAGTTATTGTAAACATTTGAATCATTCTGTACCAACAACACATTTCCACAATGAATCCAATGTAAATGCATATCTAACATAAGTTTCCATAAATTTCGACATTTACATACTGATCTAAAGATCATGTATTCACAGACTGACGTCTCCCGTTTAATAAATAAAATATCATTTACTATATGTACATTATATCTGTATAGGGAGTATTTACAACATATGTTGCTACAAATATATGTCACTGATTAAATATTTGGTATTAGCTATGTAAATAAAGCAAATACTTTCGTTTTACCGTGTGTTCTTGTGCAGTAAATAATCAAGGGTCTAGTACAGTCAGCCCATGATGACCGTCATGTGATGCCGCATCAAAACTACCAGCGTCGGATAATCCCCGGATATAGATTAACGAACCTCTTCAGCGTTGTCAGCTACAACAGCAACGTCGTTACTGATGTCTAACATCGTCACTAAAAGTATTCAGACTAGTATTCACAAACAAGTAGTGCACATACACAGAGTGAGCGAGTTTAGTTTTACGACGCTTTTAGCAATATTCCAGCAATATCACGTCGGGGGACTCCGGAAATGGGCTTCAAACATTGAACCCAGGGTACACAGAACCCGGTTTACGGCGTGACGAGCGAACGCTTTAACCACTAGGCTACCCCACCGCCCCCTCATACACAGAAACCATTACGACTAGTATTCACAAACAAGCAAGTCAAAACTTTGATTACACAACAGTCTCGTTTCCTGTTGACTGGGTTTCGTCCTATTGCGCAACATAGTACAATAACCAGTCCAGAATTTTTAGACCAATTCATTCAACTGGATACATAAATATTAATCAGTATTATTTGATACATCTAATCACTTGTATATTGAAACACTACGCTCCTTCTAATCCATACAGACACGTCCTACAGTGTGCTCTGTCGTACAGCGTGCTCTGACAGACGGAAATCTGGAAATCGTGGAAATCCCAAAACGAGGCTCTTCCGCTACAAAAGTTTGGCGGTCTGGTACGGTCTTGATATTATATCAATCATATTGTGCGTTACAAAACTACACTGAATAAGCACCAAGAAAACACATAACAAGTGTCCCTAGTGAGCCAGATGAATTGTGAATTATTTTACGACCTCATCAAACTGGGCCAGTCTGTGACGTCTTAGTTAAGGTCATGCTGCCTACACCTCGCCATAAAAAATAGAAATACGATGTTATTAAAGTTTGAAATTGAAATAAACTTGTAAATACCCTTTTCTTATGAAACAAGGAATTGGAATTCAGTGTAACCATTGTTGTTTGTGGTGTCTCTTCTCACTTTTACACGAGAGTATTCGGATCGGCTGAAAATGTCTGAATAGGTTAGTGAGACTCATGTTTCGGTTTGATAATTCATACACAGAAACCATTGTGACTAGTATTCACAAACAAGTATTATTCATACTCCAAACTCACACCAAGAAGCCACTACGATAAGCATTCACAACCAAGTACTCTTTATAAACAGAAACCTTTGTGACTAGCATTCACAACCAGGTATTACTCATACACGGCAGCCATTACGATAAGCATTCACAACCAGGTATTACTCATACACGGAAGCCATTACGATGAGCATTCACAACCAGCTATTACGCATACACGGAAGCCATTACGATAAGCATTCACAACCAGGTATTACTCATACACGGAAGCCATTACGACAAGTCCACAACCAGGTATTACTCCTATTACTCTATACACGGAAGCCATTACGATGAGCATTCACAACCAGGTATTACTCATACACGGAAGCCATTACGATAAGCATTCACAACCAGGTATTACTCATACACGGAAGCCATTACGATAAGCATTCACAACCAGGTATTACTCATACACGGAAGCCATTACGATGAGCATTAACAACCAGCTATTACGCATACACGGAAGCCATTACGATAAGCATTCACAACCAGGTATTACTCATACACGGAAGCCATTACGACAAGTCCACAACCAGGTATTACTCATACACGGAAGCTATTACGATAAGCATTCACAACAGGTATTACTCATACACAGCAGCTACTGTGGTCATGGAGTCCGCCTCCAAACAGTGTTTATACACAGAGAGTGTCCACATCCCAAACCACGTGGATTTGAAAACACACACATCAGGTCCAGTGACTAGAAACACAAGGCGACATTCAGATAAACAGTTGTGAAACCAGAAACTACCACGCCAGAAACTACGCTGTCTCGATTATCTGAAACAGAGTCTGCTTTGAGTGCCATTTAGAAGCTGGTATGATGAACAGGGACGATCTTGATCTTGATAGACAACTTCTTTATTGCAATGGATGCGACGTTTGTTGCGACCAGAACTGGGATACGACCAGAACTGGGATAACTAATATGGAGAATTATACGTCTTACTGTCAACTATGTATTTAATCGACAAACAATTATTAAGATCAAAATCAGCTGCACAACTCGTGTCCTTTATTTTAACTACTGATTGCTAAAAATGCCAATGGCAGCGCTCCATAGTCGATGTCCGCCATAATAGCTAAATATAGCAGCGCAAAATGTAGAAACGTGAAACTGAAACGAAATAGAATTCATTTTCATACGCTTTACTCTAATTACTCTACTAGCTTAAAATAAGTGATGTTCCTGGTTGTGGATGCTGAATTTAGGTGTCAGGTGTTTTTCATTCATTTTGTATTCATAACGGTTCTTTCATTCCCAGAAATGGTTACTGCTCAACTTGAAATATGACTTTCTTGCAATATCTAATGATATTTTAAAATATAGCTAATTATTCCTTTGACAATATATGTTTATGGCCACAAATAGAACCAGAAAAATATATGATGTGAATGGTATTGATTTTGATTTTATAGTTTAATAATTATGCTAATATTTGTAAAAATATGGTAAGTTATATCTAAATATCGGCCAGCCTAGCCATTTTTGCACAGTGTTTTATGTAATAATACAGTAAATAGTTTCTTTTAAAGTAAGAACGGGGAATAAAAGAAAATTAAATTATGTCATAATTATTTTTTTAATGATGTTACATCCATTTTGATGGGTATGTAAAGTATAACAATTCAAGTTTGTTTTTGGGGATTTAAGACTCTGCTATTTGTGTTATGCCATTTGTGAGAGTATATAAGAGATTGGTATGTTGCTTGGTCATACTTTTCAGAGAATATTTCTTTTGAAATACTCGAAAAATATACAGGTTCATGTACACATTCATGACACTGTAAAAAGAGTGGTGATCTATTATTTATAATGGTAGGGTGTATTCAGTAACATCACCATCACACATAATACTACGCTGATAATGCTGAGTTAAAGGTCCAGTTAAAGTTCTCATCCCCTAAAAGTTCACATGGCCCCTAAGCAGTTAGTGGCTCCTTTTTTATAACATGTTTAGCCTCCAAGTAATGTTGTGTTAATATTACTGCTATTACCATATAAGATTTGCCAGTAATGATCATTTATAGCTTTCATCATTATTGTGTACATGGAAGCTGTTTGTAACAGACACCAGACATACAAGGCATAATTACTTCAGAATGAAAAAGTGGGAGAGTTTGTGCCCCATCTCAGAAGGCTATAGTTATAACTTTGAAGAAAAATGATGGTGTAGAAATTATCCAAAAACATTTCTTTAATGTTCCTTTGAAAATCCCTTCCTGGTCAGCTTGATATAAATGGGAATTCACTGAGCCCTTCATAGCAGCTTGAACTTGTTATTCCATGCATTGTCATCAATAACCTTATATTTGCTGAACTAATTCGCGATTAGAGTTGTCCCCCCTTCACTATTTGCTTGAAACGGTCATCTGCTCATTGTGTTAGAAGGCCAAGCAGCTGAAGCTTCTTTGATGACATATTGTTACTGAGATGAAACTGTCAAGGTAAATGATGACTTCATATTTACTGTTTTGTGTGTAATTTTCCCCAGAAACCAATGCTACCTGATGTGGATATGGTTGTCAGGCTCAATGATTGCATGTGTGGATGCTTATGATCTCAATAACTGGATTGTCTGGTACAAACTCAGTTATTTACAGATATCATGTAGCTAGAATAGTGTGTAGCAACAAACAACAAACTAACGAAAACAATTTATGCCAGCTTTGGATTAGGGAATTTGTGTGATAAATGTAGTCAAGGAAATTAAAACATGCAATATTGCCCCACTACTTTTAGATTTTGCCCATAAGTATGAAGTATAAGAACCCAAAAGAAAATAATAAATTCCCTTAAAATATAGATTTTAAACTTGTTCCACTTCAAACACTTTTGGTTGAGGGAATATAAGTAATACTATTAAACAAATCTCTTAAAGTTAGTACTGTAGATCAGCCCAGTGTGCTCATAAATATGAAGTGTGATTTGCTATGAGCAGCCAAAATGAAATCAGAAGATTCCATTGATTGTAATTTTATGGTGTTATCCCTCATCTGGTTGAATCTGTATGTATTATACTAATATTGTACAGATTCTCTGAAAATAAGAGATATTGTCCTGTTCAAGATTCAGCCCACAATTTTTAAATGTCAGATTATTCTGTTAGTATTAGACTTAGGAGACATTATCCCTCTCCTGGTCAAAGGCATATAGGATTAAATCAAGTTAACTCTCTTAAAGTTGTACTAAGTAATGGCCTATTTGCTTTCATAGTCTGCTTTCTACATGTCTGAAATATGATCTACTATCATCAGATTTTAAAGTTGTTTTCCTTTATCTAATTAAGGGCATATGAATAGTAAAAATAGTTTAAAAATCTCTAAACATTGGCAATATTGACCTGTTGCATGTAGACTCTGTTTCACAAGTTTCACATATATG